TAGGCTATTATAAGTTATTGAATATAGTTTCCTGTGCTATACAGTATGGCCTTGTTTTTACATGGTTTCATGAAAATTTTCCTTGTAGTTTCAATTGTACAAGATCTTCTGCCAAAGTTCGGTAGGTATTCTGTGAGAATTGCTCCGCATGTGGGTATGATTTGATGTACTCATGGGAGAGGCTGAGCTCCGTGTCCTTCTACTCTGCCGTCCCAAAGCCCCTCCTGTTCCTTTCTTTCTAGAGGCAGTGATAATTCTCATTTATAGAAGTGACTGAAAAAACTTCAGTCTTAAATCTCACGGACTGCCAACAATCTCCAAGATTCCAATGAAATATGTATTTCTTACTCTATAATGGGTGGACTATTTCGTTAAGAGCAAGGAATAGCATGACTGCCAACAATATGCCCCTAAAATTATGAAATTTTAATGCCTAGATTCTCACCCTAAATTCAGTTAAGTACTTTAAAGGGTCTATATTTTCAGTACACCTGGTCCAATGGGCAGACACATAAACACAGAAGTTATCCTTACCCAAGGAAACAAGATTCCTATAATTCTCTAGCATCACATCCCTGTGCAAGTTCCTCTGTGTTGGATCCATCAACCGCCACTCTTCCAACGTGAAGTCTATAGCCACATCTTTAAATGTCACTAATTCCTAAAACAAATACAGAGATCACCCAGGGAGTGTACAATTAGATGTGATAGGCAGAGTAACACATACAAAACTGGGGAAGAAAATTAGAAAACTAGCAGTTTCCACCCAAATCATCTCTTCTCCCTCAAAATCCTGCCTTACCTATAATATCAGCTCTTTTTCAGTCCTATTCTATAAGATATAACTTAATAAAAGACATAGTCTATCATGCAGATTGTAGACAGAGGAACTATTTTGAGTGTATTTAAAACACAGAAATTTTTCTGTATATCCCTTATGAGATATATTGTGAGGGGAAAAAGAACTGCAAAAAATAAAAATAACATATTTTCAGTAAATGATCATATTGTTGGTGGCAGTGATGGAAATGCTATTTTATAACTATGGTGTGTGTAGTGTTGGACAAAGCAAATTAGTATCCTGACATCACTGAGAGCCAGTAAATCTGACATGGAAGAAAGAAAATATAAATGTATTATCAATGAGACTATGCACAAACTCCATAGATCCAAAACTGAATTGGAAGTATCGGTATAAACTTATGAAGTATTTTATTTTTAAGGAAAACACCCCACATACACCAAGCTTCATCTACTGATGAGGCCCAGAAACAATAACCAAAAAGGCAGCATTATACTGTCTGGACTGCGGCCCCTACATATTACTTTACACTACAAGAAACCAGGGCCGGGAACTTTCTGTTATACTAAAAGGCAAGGAAACTGTCAAAGATTACTAGAATCACACCTAAGACACGGGAGACAACTTGAAGAGGCTTCCATTGGCCATTGATGGGAAAATTTAAACACCAATAAGAATAATAATCGTAATGAATTTCAAAAATATCTAGTACATTTAAAGTTATGATTTCATTATAAAACCTTAAGGATACTCATTGATCATCTTTGGAGGATGCCTGGAAACTGGTAAATAAAGAGAAAGAATCAACCCTTTGCCCTTCTTTTCCTATGCAATATATATATATAGCTTGTTCAGTAATAAAATGTACTCAGGAAGTTGACGAGGGGAGGTTTCTCTTCATGGAAGTACTCCAGCTAATACACGAAGAAGGAACGAAAGAATTAGAACATTGCCATTTACAACCTCTAATGAATTAAAGGATTGTCAGTGGGTGCTGACACACCAAAAAGGCCTTAACTAGGCTTTATGTAGCTTCTGGTGGAAGATACCAGAAATATGAAATACCAATGGCAAAAACATTAAAAAAAATCAAAATCTGAATCTGATCAAGCCTCTAGATTTAACTAACAATATAAAGGGAATACAGGGGAAGGAATAGCATCTTAAAAAAAACTCCACAGGGATGAAATCAGTAAAATCTATACTGTGTGAAATTCAATTAACATTAAGAATTAGGAGCAGTAAAAGAGGTGCTTTCTCTTTACTCCCCTTAGACACAAGGCTAAGGATTACCTTTACCAGTTCTGGTTCTTCTGTCTGAAGGTGAAGATCTTAATCTGGCTGGGAAACTTCAGGACTCTGAGGGGATACAGGACGAAATCACTCAGTAACAGGTTGCCTGCTACCTACAGCGGAGCCTCAACAAGCACCATCAGCCCACTGTGGACGTGGTATATGAGATAACCTCTTTCACTGTTTTATTTAGGGATGAAATTAAGGTCCC